GCCATTATATCACTCTCGTGGTTACATCGCCATCATATAACTCTCGCGGTTACACCACCATCTCACTCGCAGTTACATTGCCATTATATCACTCTCGCGGTTACACCGCCATCTCACTCGCAGTTACACCGCCATTATATCACTCTCGCGGTTACACCGCCATCTCAATCGCAGTTACACCGCCATTATATCACTCTCGCGGTTACACCGCCATCTCACTCGCAGTTACACTGCCATTATATTTCTAAAATATTTCCCAAAAACATTCTCTTTTCATCCGGACTTGAAGTCCGGTCAAACCTGTCCGGATTAGAAGTCCGGTCAAAATACTTTGAAGACAAACCAACTCCCTTGCCCGGATTACAAGTCCGGACAATACTTCAATTATAACGTTGTCCGGTTTAAAATAAACCGAACGATACACCGCACACCCTTTGTCCGGTTTAGAGTATACCGAACAATACATCACCTAACCTTTTGACCGGTTTAGAGTATACCGATCACCCCTTAGCCGGTTTAGATGATACACCGGTCACCTCTTGGCCGGTTTAGTTAATACACTGGTTACCTCTTGGCCGGTTTAGTTATCCGAATTTCAATCCGGACAACACTTGTACGGTTTACTCATGAATCATCATAAAATACAACCAAATTCATAATAATCAGTTCTATATGCTTATCAATCTGTATGAAAACAATTCATATCCAAAGCTCTTAATACTCACCTTTTAGAAGTTGAGAATCAAAACCTTTTGAAATCTTCTTCTCCTTCTTGTGCAGTTCTTCAAATCCTCAGAGAAAACACTTTCCAAATATGGTAAAAAGTGTCCTTCTCTTCATAAAAAAAATCTATATATACTTCTTATAAAAATGGGCGGCTTCACTAGCCGACTCCCTTTTCATTTCTTCTTTTAAAATAATACCCACACACACATACATATCATACACACACACACATATATATATATATATATAATAAATATATACATATATATATAAATGAAATAACAACCAGAATATTACATCTAGATCATGGATTATCCCAGACGGCAATAAGAACACCGACATCCAATGAAGTTGAAGGGATTGCAGGACTGATCTTATAAGTTGACGACGCCCTCCAAACGACAGAAACTTGGATTTCCAATTAAGAATGCGACCCTTCACCTTATCAATTAACGAAGCTTAATCACATAGCTTCAACCGAGCCTGAGATAAAGGGACCCCCAAGTACCGGACAAGAAACGACACAAGCTTAAAAACACTCTAGAATGGCCTCCTTAATGTTAGGAGGCACATTACCAAAGTAAATTTCACTTTTTTCAAGGCTTGGAGCTAATCCCGAACGACTTTGAAAAAGAAATAGAGCTTTTTTGAGCACTTCCACCAATAAGACATCCCCCTTAGTAAAAACAAATAAATCATCAGCGAAACAAAGATGAGTCAAATCCAGATTCTCACAACCCCGATGGTACCCAAAATCAGTTGCTTCGTGAATACAATGCTTAAGGAGCATAGAAAACCCCTCCATCACAATCGTGAAAAGATATGAGGATAAAGGACCCCCTTGTCTAAGACCCCTCCATGAAAAAACCCATAGGAATTACCATTGATCGCAAGTGAATAAGAAGTAGTAGATACCATCTCCCTTATCTACTTGACCAGAACCGGATGGAAACCTAAACCTTGAAGCATAACAATAAGGAAGCGCCAGTCCACAGTATCATAAGCCTTTTTGATATCAATTTTGAACGCACGTCTAGGTGGCCCTGATGACGACTGATACCCAGAAACGAGCTCATGTGCCATAAGAATATTATCCGTAATCCTCCTACCCGGAATAAAAGCCGATTGGGCTTTATCAATTAAGGAATCCAAAGATCCCTTCATTCTGTTTACAATGACTTTACTAATATATTTGTAAAGTATAGCAAGCAATAGGCCGGTAATCCGTAACCCTAGATGCATTAACAGATTTTGGGAGAAGGCAAATAAGAGTATGATTCAAATTCTTCGGGAGGTTACCTCGATAAAAGAAATTATGGATAGCAATCTGCACATCACGTCCAACAATATCCCACATAGCCTTGAAAAACTTTGAAGAAAATCCATCAGATCCTGGAGCTTTATAATTACCAATGCTAAACATAGCATTTTTAATTTCATTATTTAGAATCGGCCGGATCATGTAGTTAGCTTCCGATAAAGAGAGCTTTCTCGTGAAGATATCTTCAGGCATGGACGAATCGGGGGAAACATACGTCGTACCCAAGAAATCTTTATAATGATCAACGAACACTTTCGGGACATCTTCACCGAAGAAGTAATCACCACCACTAGTACAGACCGAATGAATGGAATTGGAGTAATTCCTTTCTTTGATCACCTTATGGAAGAATTTGGTATTCATATCACCTTCATTCAACCAATTAATTTTGCCACGTTGCTTAGCAGCATATTCCTCATCCCAACAAGCATTCTGATACGCTATACGAATATGACCCAGTTCAAGACCTAACTCGTCATTAGAAGGGTCTTTATCTACATCCATTTGAATGCGATCTAATTCAGTCTTCAAAAAAGAGATACGTTGACCAAGATTACCATAAGAATTTCGAAGCTTGCAGAGCGGGGTCTTGAGAGCCTTCAAGTGGGAAGTTACGCGAAACATAAAAGTGCCCTCAATATGTTTAGCCCATTCGTTCTTAACAATTTGTAAAAAAACTGGGTGGTCTGTCAAGAAATTGTCGAATTTGAAACCATACCTCCTTGTCCGAGCACCACCTTTGAAAGATAAGACCACCGGCGAATGGTCCGAAGGATGAACCTGTACACTGGCATCATGGAATTTAGATGTGAACTCCGAATTAGCCATAGCCCTATCGAGTTTTCGCATGATACCCCCTTTTGAGTTTGGCTTTTGGTTCCAGGTAAAATGGACACCAGTGTATTGTAGATCAAAAATTTCAGCATCCTCAACGCACATAAAAAAGTCTGACATGTCCGTGTTACAGCGAGAAGACCCACCAAACCCATCATGTGGAAATAACATAGTATTGAAGTCCCCCATTACAACCCACGGACAAACATTAGCCCCATAAACATTAGCCCCATAAACCAGGGAGAGGTAGATATAATCTTGAGCACCCCGAAAAAATACCTTACAATTTAGGAATTGACTATGGGCCTCCAGGACCATAATGTCTAAAACACTTGAATCCCATGCTAAGATAATACGAGTTCCAGCCTCACACATAGCTTGATTAGACATCCAATACCATCGACCAAAAGAATTAGGGCAAACACTATCTAGGGATTCTTTAAACACATGCGATTCTACAATGACACACAAACTTAATCATTACAATGAATAAAATTTCTCACCTCTTTTTGTTTGACCGGAGAGTTGAGCCCCCGGATATTCCACGAAGCAAAGTTCAACATGATGAAGAGGTTGGAATATCCCCTTGACCTCGATTATCCTCATCTACATTTTGCACAACAGTATTTTTTCCAACACCATCATGAGAATCCAATTGAGAATCCTCTCCCCCTAACATTTTAAGAACTCCAAATCTGTTAGAAGCTTCCACAGGTTCATAACCCCCCCTTCGAGGCAAACGAAAGTTTTTTATCACAGAAGAAATAAGAGGAGTAGATGTAGTCATAGAATGAGTAGATTGGGAAGACTGGGAAGAAGAGGCCCCAGCACCTGCATTCATACCTGAATCACAAGAAGCATTCCTTTCATTTTTTCTATGGTGAACAACCGGGTCTACATCAGAGGTACTCATATTCCTTTCCTTTTCCTGTTCACGTCGTGAAGTATTCACTACCAAGGACGAAGCATGAGGGCCAACCTTGTCATTCTCATTTACTTGTCGGGTACCAGATGTATTGGGCTTTCCTCCTGATTTAGCACACCATTGTTTTTTCTCCACTCTAATAAACCTTTCTGAACCTTTTCTCACATCGACATGCTTCCCTTTATTGAGACTTGCGGCTTTTGCACAGGACGAGGTTTTGTGACCAAATATTTGGCAATGTGAGCATTGAACCGGCTCCCACAAGTATTCAACCTGTATTTGTACACTGTCAGTATCCCCACCATTAAGGTCTGGAATTTCAACCTCAATTTTCCTTTTTGGTTCCCCAATAGCCCAGACCTCAACCAACACTTTGGCAAACCCGGGCCGACCCCAAGCCTTCTCACACATGGCAGCAGTGCAAGAATCCATCTGCTTGGGGACTCCCAATACACTCGCTATACGACTAACACCCTCTCTATTGAAAGCAACTAGAGGTATGTTGTGCAATTTCACCCACAACGGACAAGAGGAGTGTTCAGGTTTCCTCAATCCTTTAGAGGGATCCCAACGATGGACAAAAAGAGGGATACCCCTTATCATTAATGGCCCAGCTTCAATTGCCTGATCACACCCTCCTACATCATTAAACTTGAAAAAGAAGATCCCATTCTCATTTAACATTGCATAATTGAAACCATACTTTCCCCATGCCGTTCTGACAAAGTTCTTCACTAAGGGAAAAGGGATACGAGGGCCCCGAAAATAACCATACAATACCGAATTATACGCTTTAGCAGCTTCCTTAGCCATTTCAATAGGTATCTTCACATTTACGTCCTTTTTATCAGGCAAGGGATAAAAGTTGAGGTCTGTGGCAATTGAACTTCCCACCGCTTTCGCAAAATTTAACTTATCTTTGCCACTTGAAGCATTTTCGAGAGAAGAAAGTCTCTCAAAAACAGAAATTCTACTAGGATTAGAAGGTAAAGGAGCCGATTCATCCCCCATTTCCATTGCCCACTCTAAGAAGCCGTGGTGCTGAAACTAACGTTTAGCGCCCTTAATAGGATAGACGAAGACCCCGAAAAATCAAGGTGCTAAATATCTATCAAGGGAATTCAACGTAAGTGACGAAGACCATGGAAACACTTCGAATGAACTTAGAAAACAGGAAATAAACAAAGCACAACGAGCACAGCAAAAAGAATCAACTTAGATAAAAAAACAAGTAGCCCAGGGTCACATCAAATCGTGAAAAACCGCCCTATTAAATCGGGATTAGAACCGTGATAAACCGCCCAATGAACCAGTAAACAGCAGCAGAATAGTTTAAAACAGCAACAAAAACTCCCCAGAACCAGCATCAACGGTGAATCTGACTAATATGAGGTTCGAAAAAACTGTGATAAATAGTATGCATAAACCAGCAGCACAACACAAACCGAACTGAAGAGAAACCCAAGCTGATCACATAAAATAACAGAAGATACGAGAGTACCAACAACAAATATCACAGCACCAGCAGTAGAATTCAAACAGCAGCAGCTTAGACAAACAATTTCAACCAGAAAAACACTCTTCTGCCGCCTTACTAAGGTACCAAACTAAAGTGGACAGAATCTAATCACGAAACAGCACAGTAAACAACCAGCAGACAGTCGAGAAAATCAACAGCACAAACGAGGAACCAGCAGCAAAATTTTGAGCTGTTAAACGTATCAAACAGCAACTGATTAACAGTTTAAAGACCAGCAGATAACCGGTTCAGAAAGTAGGCAAACACAGCAGCTAGTGAGAACCCGTAATGAACGAACAACAGCTCCAAACAACCGAAAACAACACGAACTGGCAGCCAAAACTCGAAATACCCAGAATCCAAGCAGTCAAAACAGTCACCAAAATTGTAGAACTATCCGGATAGCAATAAACCACATAAATCACACATTCCAGCAACAAAGAAAATCTGTCCAACTCGATAGACAGCAGCCGCAACACCCAAACAGCGGTAGTAGGCCACAATACAGGAGACCGGACATAAAATATAACAGCAGCAAAAAACGCAAACAGCCCACGGAACAGACTACAAACTAGCAGCAGGAATGAAAAGAACTAATCAACCAAATCGTTACCAAACAGAATATAGCAGAGAACCAGCAAAAAGGCCAATAAACTACTGTCGTTACTCAACAAACAGCAACGTAAATCACATAAAATAATAGCCGTCTATAGAACCCAGAACCCACAGCCAGATCGCACCTGGAACAAACCGTAGGCTAAAACTGCAATATCCAAGAAGGCCACAGCGAAGCACCCCCAGAAAACAAAGCAAAACTCCAACCCGATCACCAAACGACAATAACAAAGGATTAAGGCGCCAGAGAAAACCCTAAACCAGCAGGACAAACCCTAGCCGCACCTGACTGATGCCAAACCAGAGAACAATGCGCACACAGTCGGACAACAATTTCGACAGCAACACAAACACAAGAATCCAAAATAAGACAGGAAAAACGTACCAAAGTGAAGATCGATCGTGAATCAGAAACCCTAAAAACCGAGACCACCGTGGAAAGTCTCTTGGAAGAAAAGCCTTGGAAAAGACAACCGATCATCCACATGCAAACGTTAACATGTAGCCAGAAATATCCAAACAAGATCTAGCATTATCCAATATTCACCAAGAACGCATGACTAGAGAGAAAAAGTTAACGTAGGGTCTGCGTACGACTTTTCTTTGCTCAACAATTCCAATATCAAACGAAGATGTTCTGTGTGCTCTTCTTTGGTCTTAGAGTATATAAGAATATCATCGATAAATACAATAACGAATTTATCARGATATTCCTTACATACTCTATTCATTAAATCCATAAAGGCTGCGGGCGCATTAGTAAAATCGAACGGCATAACTAAGAATTCGTGATGCCCGTACCTAGTTCTGAATGTTGTTGTGCCAACATCTTCTTCCCTGACTTTAAGCTGATGATACCCTGACCTTAAATCAATCTTGGAGAAATAACTTGCTCCCACCAATTGATCGAATAAATCATCAATCCTTGGTAAAGGGTATTTGTTTTTTATTGTCAATTTATTTAGTTCATGATAGTCTATACACATTCGCATAGACCATCTTTTTTCTTGACAAATAAAACTGGAGCACCCCAAGGTGAAGTGCTGGGTCTAATAAATCCCTTGTCAGTTAAATCTTTCAATTGTGCAACCAATTCTTTCAATTCAGATGGAGCTAACCGGTATGGTGTCTTTGCTACTGGTGCAACCCCTGGTACTAGATCAATTCGAACCTCAATGACTCTATCTGGTGGTAATCCAGATAAGTCTTCTGGAAAGACTTCTGGATATTCACTAACAATCGGAATCGATTCCTCTTTTCTCTTTTCTTCATTCATATCAATTACGTATGCCAAACATCCTTGGCACCTCTTCCGAATGCTTTTTTGAGCTTTCATTATTGTTAAAATACTGGTATGGTGATTCTGACGATCTCCATAAATAACAACTGTTCGTTGGTCTGGCAGAGTAATTCTGATCATTTTCTGATTACAAACAATACTGGCCTGATACTTTGCCAACCAATCCATACCCACTACCACATCAAATTCCTTCATCGGCATAGGAAATAACTGAATTGGAAGTTCACAGCCCTCAATATCAATAATACAGTTATTGAACATGCTAGTAATAGTTTCTTGACTATTAGCAGTATAAACTACTAATTCATCATCAAGTATCACAGAATTCAAACATGCAGTTTGAGCAAACAGTGGTGATACAAACGAAAAGTTTGCACTAGAGTCAAATAACACCTTAGCATGTATTGAATTCAGAAGGAATGTATCTGTTACTACATCCGGTGATGCTTCTGCCTCGTTCTTAGTCATCTGGAAGGACTGTCCCCGCGCCCCTCCTTGCCCTCCTCTGTTCACTGTAGGCCTACCTCGAGTACCCGACGCATTACTTCCCATTGTCAATTATGGAGTTCTTAACAAAGGACAATTCGGTCGAATGTGATCCGGAGAATTGCAGTTAAAACAACTTCGATTACTGAAAGGGGAAAAGTTTCCCCAGGCAATTTTATAAAGACAGTAAAAAGCGTCACCAATACAAAAGCAATCAGCAAGAAAAACTACGGCAACCTTGACTCACAAACCAAGTCATAAGGAGCCAAAAAAGACAAAGGGAAATACACCAAAACATAACAGCACCATAAGCCGAAAAGCAAAAGGCAAAAAATACCCAAATGATCCAAAATCGAACGAGCACACCACCCACGTAATCACATACCATTGGGATTCATTATCTTCTTCCTTGTCTTCCAAGCCATCCGATGAAGAATCAGCATCTTGATCTCCGCAATAATTTTATCCCCCGAATGATTGAAATTGGCAAAGAACTTCCTGTTCCGTTCCCTCCAGATAATATAAATCGTTGCTGAAAGACCAAGTTTTTGTACCGTAGACCAAGATTTCCAATTTTGAGTGGACCCTCTGTGAAGGATATCCTCCCAATTGTTTGGAAAGTTCATTAATCCCACCTCCATTTTAACAGCTTCCCAAATACTACTTGAGTACTGGCATTCAAAAAATAGGTGATTGTGCGTTTCAATCACTAGGTTACAAAACACACACTTTAAATCTGGCGGTTCATGCTTCCATTGACTAATACGATCTTGAGTTGGCAGTTTCTTCTGACACGCCATCCACATGCAAAGAGCATGTTTAGGAACGTAAGCTTTATTCCAAACGAGTTTATACCAATGCACAACCGGCTTCACCTCTTGGATAGTATTCCA